TCATAATGGTGCAATATTTTTGTTGCATGTTTGCAACAATTTTCTCCCCTAACCCATGATGACTATTGTATATAATTAAGTCAGGTACACTCTGGGTTGCTTCTATGGCAGCTGTTCAACTGGGCTATCCCAGGGTTCTAACACTTGAAGTGTTTGTGTCTTTTTGGTCTATTCTTATATCAAGAGAGTGAATGTGAGTCGAGGGGGGGGGTAAAAAAAAAGGGGGGGGGGGGCTCCATGCAGTCATTATCCCCCCTCATATAGAAACTTTGGTCTATCCTTGTATCAAGAGAGTGAATATGAGGGGGGGGGTATTGGGCTCTGTATAGTCATTATCCACCCTCATATAGAAACTTTGGTATATCCTTGTATAAAGAGAGTGGATATTAGGAGGGGGTGTTATAGGCTCTGTGTCGTTATTATCCCATTTCCCTCTTAAAGAATCCTTCAGAATCAACATGTATTTTTGAATGCCCCCCCCCCCACTATGTTTCCTCAAGCAATATTGGCAGAATATGGAAGAAATTGAGAAGATTGCATAACACATGTAATAGCAAGTTGAATTTAAAGATGTAAATATATAATTTTTGAAAAAATCTGTCAAAATTATTTTTGGATTTTTGGATTCTTTATTGTTTATAAGCGCTTTGGAGTTGGGGTACTTTTGTAATCACTGCGCTAGAAACGAGTTTAAACTATTGGGCTTCCTTTCACAGTCTTTGATTATTCCATTTATATCCCAGACAATGATCACTGGTCAATGAGATTTAAAGATATGGTTCAAGAGAATGTATTCAATTCCATGGTCAGGTGTTTCCATAGAATATTAAAGTGCCCAAGTTTGAAAACAGGGATTGAGTTTCCTTATCATACCATTTTGCAGTAAAATCATTATTAAACAGAAATATATATGCAAATTCTCACCAAACTGTAATAATTCTATACTTAATATGGCTAATAAAGGATTTGATTTCAACTTATATCATTTTTATGAGTTTTCTATTGTAGTCTCTGTGTAAAAAGTTGCTAAGAATCTGACCTCTTTACCTGGTTCAATTGAAAGTTTAGTTGGACTTTAGAAGTTATCAAAAATTTAACTTTACAGTTTTGTTAATGATCAACCATGGAGACCGGTGCAATTAAAGTCCCTTTGTAAAGGGTTGTTGTAAAATAGAATATTGTGCAGTTTGCACATGTGTAATGTGAACACCACGTGAATCTGCCAGAAATGTTCATATTAGCAGGTGTTCACATTTCAAGGTTTCTTAGGAGAGAACACATTGGAATTGAGAAAAAGTGTTCACAATGAGCGGTGTCCATATTAGACAGGTGTTCAGATTTTACTGTACCTGGTGAAAATTCTTATTTTAATAAATAGTTGACAACAATATAGTCTAATCACTGATTTTGTATATTATAATTTGGCTGATCATTTTCTAATCGTGTGATTTATATAGTAAGAGACTGTTCCCAAAACATTAAAGCAAAATCAAGAAAGTGATTCAAATGATAAAAACATTTTTCATCTTCTGTGACAATTTCTTTTCTGACCAATACATTTTTTTTAGAGAAAATCGACTATATATATCATAATCCGTCAAGAAGATTTCCAATTATACGATCCAGTATCAAAACACCAAGGTTGTTATCTGTAGAAAATCTAGAAAATGATTCTGGGTAAAAGATATATTTTTGACAACTTTCAATTAAAAAGTCATAAAATTGATTAAATGGAAAACTAAAAGATCAGATTTCTTGAAATGTAATTTACCAATAAAAGTGCAGTATCCTATTTTTGGAAAAAACAAAAGTTCAAAACTCCGTATTATCTGTTTTTATCTATTGATTGAAAGTAAAATTGTAAAGATGCCTTTTAATTATGAGTTTAGTTTTTATGCTATTTTTTCTCTATGTAAGCATCAGCTTCTAATTTGGTTCAGAGTGGCATTGAAAAATGTAGAATGTTAGAAGGATATTTTTATAGCCATGTCGATGTTTCTTACTCTTCTAAATTCCCAGGGTCTGAGAGGAGATTTTAGATATCAGACAAAATATGGAATAGATATAAGGTGCAGACATATCCGAAATTGAAAATGTATATTCTTCCTTTTGACGTATTGCTATAAATAACCTAATATACGAGAAATCAAGCAATCACCCAAAATAAAGTAAAGAGCTATGGCTTTAAAAATAGGTATGATAAGGAATGCATATTGTATTATTGTTATAATTTTCCCAATTGCATTCATCATACCATATCATTGCATATATCATACCTACCATATCATTGCATATATCATACCTACCATATCATTGCATATATCATACCATATCATTGCATATATCATACCATATCATTGCATATATCATACCTACCATATCATTGCATATATCATACCATATCATTGCATATATCATACCTACTATATCATTGCATATATCATACCATATCATTGCATATATCATGCAATATCATTGCATATATCATACCATATCATTGCATATATCATACCATATCATTGCATATATCATACCATATCATTGCACATATCATACCATATCATTGCATATCAGTCATATCATTTTTTATTTTGCACTTTGAAAGAAAAAGCTAAGATGACACTTAGTTTAACGAAATATTTTTGCAGATTTAAAAATTAGAAAAGGAAAATAGAAAATTAGCATGTGTTTAAAAATAGTACTTTTTATCTAGATTAATCTTATTTCATGCATTGTGTCCTTATTTAGCCCTAACCCATGTTCCAAACCAATTCAAAGACCCTCTAGATAATGTTAAAGACAACTTATGTTCCAAAGCAATTCAAAGACTCTCTAGATTATGTCAAAGACCTGATACTGGCATACATTCTAAACATCATGCCTGGCACATGTATGATTGTTTACATTTCAGTGCTTATAATTTCTCTTTGTTCATGCTTTGTTCACTCAATTTCGCATTTGAATGAAGTATCTGATTTTCTTGCATTTCTATACAATTTAAAGTGTTAACTACATGTCGGTGGATTTTATTTACATGTTTTAACTCATTTTGGCTGTAATTTGTATTAAAAATATGGCCACTTTGCAGTTTTTTCATAGGTTTGAAAAACTACTTCAAATCCTGAATGATGGATCACATTAATGGATCCATGTCTTTAAACAAAATAAACACTCTCAAGGTTTTACAACTTAAATACCTGTAACACACGTAAAAAACAATAGAATTCTTTATTCAAATACAAGAAAAAATCAAAAAGCTCCCAAAGGTTCATCCATTGATGTATTAAAGAAAAGTTGATAAGACATGAGCTGATGACAGTTTAGTGAGTTGATATCTTATATTGGTTCATTGACTTTAATAATGGTGTCAGGATTTGATAAATGTTAAGTAAACAATGTGCACACTCGCAAGATTAATCATTGCCATGTTAATGCTGGTAATCAACAAGCACCAAATGTAGTTTGTATACACTAAAAATATATCACTCTTTTTCTTGAAACTTTGGAGTGTCTACATCTGCTTGAGAAAATAATATCCAGGTCATGAAAATAATTATTTGAGTAGATTTGTTTTAATCTCATAACCAATAATGTTAATGTACCGTAAGTTCAGGGCCGTCAGATGGGGGGGGGGTGCGATGGGTGCGACCGCACCCCCCTTTGTCACCCCACAAAAAAAATTTGAAAAAAATGTTTTTTTTTGAAAAATATTTTTTTTGTAATTTTTTTTTCATTGACTCATACACTTTGAAAGTACCCAGAAAGCACCAAATAGCATCTTAAAATTGAAAAATTGTCTAGGGGTATTGGCCACCCCTCACACCCCCCACAAAACAATGGAAAGTTCTTTTATTTTAGTGTTTTGTCTCAGACACTTTTAAAGTGCCCAGACATCATCAAATAGCTCCTTGATATAGTTAGCGTTTCTGGGGGACTTGCTCCCCCTCTTGCATCTTGCACTTGCCCCCCCCCCCCCACTCTGGCGCCCCCCCCCCTCTGGCGCCCCCCCCCCCCTTGACCCCCCCCCCAAAAAAATTGTGATTTTCTCAAATTCTTTAATTGACTCATACACTTTGAAAGTGCCCAGAAAGCACCAAAAAGCGTCGTAAAATTGTAAAATTTTCTAGGGGGAGTGGGCCACCCCTCACACCCCAAACAAAACAATGGAAAGTTCTAAATTTATTTTAGTGTTTTGTCTCAGACACTTTTAAATTGCCCAGACATCATCAAATAGCTCGATCCTTGATAAAGTTAATGATTCTGGAAGACTAACACTTACTCGTCCTCTGGCATCCCCACTCCACCTCCCCCTCTGGCAGCCCCCCCCCCTTAACACCCCAAAAAGTGCCCAGAAAGCACCAAATAGCATCTTAAAATTGTAAAATTTTCTTGGGAAATAGGCACTTTTAGGCACAGACACTTTTAAAGTACCCAAACTTCATCGATGAGCACCTTGATATTGTAAATTTTGATATGGGGGACAAACACTTGCTCCCCCTCTGGCACCCCAGCCCCACCTCCCCCTCTGGCACCCCTCCCCCCTTTGACACCCCCAAAATTTGAAAAAAATTGTGATTGTTTTTCAATGTTTTTATTGACTAATACACTTTAAAAGTGCCCAGAAGCACCAAATACCATCTTTAAATTGTAAAATTTTCTAGGAGAGTTAGCCACCCCTCACATCCCCCACAAAACAAAAGAAAATATTCTGAATTTCATGTATTGTCTCAGACATTTTTTAAGTGCCCAGACATCATCAAATAGCACCTTGATATGGTCAATGTTTCTGGGGGACAACCCCTTGCGCCCCTACTGGCACCCCACCCCACTTCACCCTCTCATCCTCTTTGACACCCCTAAAAGAATTTGAAAAAAAAATTCACATTTTTCTTATTGACTCATATCGCACAGGCGTACCAGATGGCTGCAAATTCGCTCCAAATACAACCAAATTTCAAAATTTTCCTGGGGGAGAACCCCCAGACCCCCTAGGCCCTGAATGCTCAGTTTTTTATTCACTCAACTCTTATTCCCGTGGTGGTGGCGTACTACTTAGAAACTTACACATTGAAAGTGCCCAGAAAGCACCAAATAGCATCTCAAAACTGTAAAATTTTCTAGGGAGAGTGGACCACTCCTCATACCCCCCACAAAACAATTGGAACGTTTGGAAGTTGCATTTGTTAATTCCAAACCAATATAGGGAGTAACTGACCCCCCCCCCCCCCTCTGTCTTACGCGATTTGATTACGCGGCAAAAAAATGACAATTTTATATTCTCTTTAGTAAGCTAAAAACCGCACCCCCCTTGGAGAAAAGTGTCTTACGGGCCTGAAGTTGTTGTATCATCAGTTAAATAAATTACCATAATATGTAACAAAAATTATGCATTTATAAAACTTAATCAGACGTAGTACTGAATAAATGTAATAAATTGACCTGACATATAAAAGATTCAATATCAAGTGTTGCTTGCATTATAATGTCATTTATTTTTGGTTTGATCATTGAGATGTTTTGCCCGTAGCAATGGATTGTTATCTACCCTGCGAGCAGTCAATGGGAAATCTCCCCGAACTAGATGTCACATTTTCAAAAATATTAAACTTTCAAAGTTGATTTTTGAAACCATATGTACGTTTACATGTAGATTCCAAATATGACATCACTTTGACTGAATTTTGAATGTTTGATGACGAAAATCAAGACTCGACATCTAGTCTACTTCGCATCTAGTCTATTGAGAACCAAAGCCAAACAAATGCAAAGGGTAATTGTCATCATTTTATCGAGCCCATTCCCATACTCTTTGGAGACCCAGTAAAAACTTCACACAACCATATATATTTATTCTCCGAAATGCCTCTTGGTAAGAGTTTCATGATTCCTAGTTAGAGAAGGTCAGTTTGGGTTATCTTTAACTTTGAGATGATGAATGGAGCTAAATGAAGCAAGACTACGGGACTATGGGAAACTATGCGAACCATAAGGCTTTTTTCTTTTGTGAACATGTATGAATTTTCAAAGGTATTCTGTCCCATATCCTATATTGTGTCAGGGCAGGGCACTTTGTATACTGTTGCAGTGGAAGCTCCCATAATCCCATGTAGTGACCCCCAGGCCCATCCTGGTCTCTATGGTAGCATAATGGCGGCTTCAGTCCGATTGGTGAAATCTCAAGATTTAGTCTCTGGAATTCCCCTGGAATGACGTCATTGTTCATTGGATTTGTGGGAAAGGTCGTTGTTAGGAGATAACTACTGTTGCTACTTGAGAAATTATGGAGAATTTTCAGAACAGTTTTCAATGCTAAATGTTGGAGCATCATTCTACATAATATCAAATCATATGATTTCGTCAAAGGAGTCGTGGCTATATCACCTCGATGGAATTCCCATTCTGTGAAAGGATACATTGTTTTATGATGGTCAATTAAGTTAGGGACAATGTCGATTCCAGTGTATATGACATCGTCACGCGTCTTTAGGAATTTCGCCATCCATTGCATATCACCACAGGGGACGTCTAAGAGATTCACTTTTCTGATATTCTTTATCCGTTTAATCTCATTGATCAAAGTATGTAATATTGCTATAACCCCTTGAGCGTTTTCCAGTTTGGAACCTGGGCCAGATCGTTGAAACTCAGCGCCATCTTTCTCCATATCCCAGAAACCATTGTTGAATATTTCCACAAACTTTGATTTTCTAATCTTGTCATACTTATGCGTGTCAATGTCTCTAATTGATTCCCTCATTCGTACATAGTTCTGTTGGTCTATTGGAATGTTTTTCATAGTTTCTCCAGTTATGCAGTTGACAACTTTTGAGAAATTGTTGTGTATGACACTTCTGTCAGTATGAACTTGTTGTACTTTAGTTCTTTCAAATCTATCTTTTCTGTCACGTTCATCATCACCCGTGGCTTTAAGGAAATGATCAATTCTCTCTGAATATAGTCCATTTTTATCCAAGTATGCAGTTTCTAGATTATCCCGTTTTTCTTCATCTTGACTCCTTACTTGTTTGGTGTGTGGTTTCCTTTTAAGGTCATTTGCAAAGTGTTTCCTTATATCTTTCGTATAAACAAATGGCTCGCATTCTAGTGTCATCTTAAGTTGAAGGAAAAGTACCAAAATAACACATGCTGTAATAAGTCCTACAAAAATAGCCACTGGTTTAACCATTTTAAACCTCTTCTTTTAGATCAAATATATTAATACATAACTGTAAACAGAATAGTTCATCTTTTTTAATCGGGCCATGTTGACATTATAAAGTAATCATAAAATACATGTACACTAGGTACATCTGTCTTGTCTAAATTACATTAATGATTAACTTTAATGTACAATCCAATGATTAACCTCTTTATGGCATATTGTCGCAATATTGTATGATACGCTAATGGTGTTACTTATAAGATTGCCTTATTGTTGATGAGACAATAGGAAAATTATTTGAAATTACCTAAAATAACAAAAAAACAGTTGCTCACAACATTCCTCGGACAGAACAGCAGGTGAATTTTGTAAAAACAAACTTCCTGTTGCTATATATGGTGCTAATGAAGCCCCGATGGTGGATGATTGATATATCAATAAGACGTGTGATACTTTAATTTGGTAGACAAATCGTGGTCAATATGAAGGTTTGGTATGGATAAAAAGTAAAGTTCTATGTCCTCTGTCCATCAGTCCTCTGGTCCATATATCTGTCTGCCCATACAAAAATAACTCATTATAAACACTTATTGATGAATTTTCATCATATTTGTTTGACTAAAGTTATGAGTATGGGTGTCTGAATTGTGGGAAGTATATCCACAAATATGTGTCTTTTTGGTTTTTATATTATTCTGTCGCGCCCCCAGGAGCTGTTATAATGGAAGTCAAGGAAAAAGGAATTTTGTTAACTATGAAACCTATATGGAGTACGATTTTATTATACTCAAATGAAGGGGAATCAGAATAGATTGCAAATATTGCATCTTTTTCTGATTTATCTCTGAAAATACAAAATGGCTACCTGCTTCGGAATTTTCAGTAATTTGGAGATATCTTATAAGTATGACTACATGTACATTATACTAGATAAAAGAATATTTTACAGTAGAATACAGTATTGTTCTCAAATAAGTGTTTCTAACATAAGATTGTGACATATTTCAGATATATGAACTTAAATGTTTGTTGGGACTTGCTACTCAGTGGGGTTGCTGTTTTCTCAGTTGCTATTACTTGAACTTTCATCTGCATCATGGCAATACTATCCAATTATTACTATGTATTGTACATTTAAAAACATTTTCCAATCAAGCATATCATATTATAATTTATTATAAGATACAAGTAGTAAGAGTAGTATTGCTTTCTAGGTTAGTGTTATTATATAAGTGGTTGCGCTTCTTTTAAGGATTATACTGTTACGTATTAGTAAAACTAAGATGGCCAATGAAATGTTTAATAGAATAAATTTTGTGTACATTTTATTAGGATTTATCTTATCATCGTTCCTTTGGATTTTATGGGCTCCAATAAATAGGAATCACAACTTCTACTCACCAACACAGGCTAATGATAAAGAGAAATTAAGAATAATGGACATTGGGGATTCAAGGAAAGAAAAAGGTATAGAAAATAATGATTTGTCATTGCAAAATAAAGATGGATACATTCATCAAGGAAAAACCAAAGGCAAACTGATGGAGAAAAATAATCTTACTATAGGCAATAAAAACAGTGAAGAGGTTGATACATATCTTAACAATATGAGTGGTGCAAAGAATGAACAGAAAAACAAAACATCACTACATAATGCCATACTTATGTACATAGATCGTGGAGATCACCATGTTATACAATTCACATTATTTCTATATGCGTCTTGGAAATATGTCATGAGTCATAAGTCTCTCAAAGGTAACGTTACCATTGACAATGCTGCATCTCTGCCAGATATTATTTTTGATTTGATTGTGTATTGTCACCCAGAAACCTGCAAACTTCTCCCTCTGGATTGCATCCCTCTAGGGAAGGACACCATTTTGGAGGCTGTTCCAAGATGCTGGTACACCCCTTCTAAAAGTCTACAAAGTCAACCAGGATATCCTTCTGATTATGGCTATCTTAATACATTTAGCTTTCTACTTGATGATAATTTTAGTCAGATTGCTAACAGATATGACAGGATTTTGAGGACTGACACTGATGTGTTTATATCCCCTGCGATATTAGGTTGGCTTGGTAAATACCCCTTGATCACTGGACAGGGTGGTTATGGAGTACCATTTAGTATAATTAGGTTAAGAAAAATTGCAGCCAAACTTGGTTTACATCATCAGCATATATCTGATATTGGAAGCACATGGTACGCAGAGCCCGGAATATTCCAGAAAGTTGCCATTCTTGCGTTGAACCTTTCCGTCCATTTTTACAACCATGAATTCAACAAATCCCTACCAGGCCTTGAAGGTATATTTGATACAGGTGATGATGGAGTATGGCCCAACTGGTGGCGTCAGGTCTCAACTATGTATGGCAGTGAGCTTGCCATCAATCATCTCATCGCTAATTTAACAGAAGACCATAAAGCTGCTGGATATATGGACATGGCAAGTACAGATGGTGTAACCTCCGTAATGGGCGCTCCACATATACACTGTTGGCATAGTGACATAGAATTCAACAAATTTGCATTCACTGACAAAATTTTACAATTTATTAAAACCGACGTAAGACAACTATGGATTCTTAATGATACAAAGTTATATCGAGATGACATGGATGTATCTGGGATGAGCATAAGGCAATATGTAACTTATATTGCATGGAATGGAGTGCTTAAATATCTGCCACAAATTGTTGGACCAATGGCGCAAGCTAATATCATAGTGCAGTAATCTCCCATACACAGCCAACATAACTTGATACAATATTTATTTACTTCTTATTGACGTATGTGGATTGAACGTTTAAATAGTTATTTATATTTTGAGTTTCATATGTTATTTGTTTATCTTTTTGTTTGTTTGTTTGTTTGTTTAGGAATTGATGGGCTGATCGGTGTTCCACAAATCAACATAATCCAATGTGCAATATTGTTCACTCTGTAACTGATGCTTTATTCATTGGCATATTGCTCTGTTCCAATGTCACAATACAATAGATATAAATTACTTAGAAATATCACCTGTTTAATTAATGCATAGAAATCGCCTTTTCATCCACAGCTATTCTGAATTCAATAAAATTGTAATTAATTTGTTTTTTCTGATTCTGTTATTTTGAGCATAAACTTTTCCATAATTGTCATAAAGACTGGAGAGGTTTGAAAACATCTTAGAAGTGTTCTTACAAACATTCTAATGGATTTCAAGTGTACATTATTTTAAATACTGAATTATGAGGATTTTATGTTCATTTTTAATTTTCATTGATATGAAAATGTTTCGTTGGAAAGGTTGAACGATGACAAAAGTATCATTATTTGATTGCCTTTGGGCATTGTCCAAGCATTTTGAGATTTTAAGGTGAGAGGTGTTTTAGACTTTCAAAATATACAGAATAATAAGCATAGGACCATGGAAGAAAAGGTCAATTGTTGTCAGCTTCAAATCATGATAATTCCGCTTTTCGCTCTTGCCCTTATAACTTATCAACAGAGATGTAGCTTCTTTTCTTAGGTAAAAGAACACCAAAGCATTTAATTTCTCTTTCTCCAGATTTATTTTACGAAGTTATGTATTGTTATTGCAACAATTAGATTATTTGTTCTACTTTCTAGTAAAGAGACAATGCACTAGTTAGAAAACTTTGCAAAAAACATGTCACAATATGAATTAGATTTTTCAAAAATACATTTTTCGTTTTAGTTTCATGTATATCTCCATGTCTGAGATCGATGCCCATATAAATGACAAAGAGAGATAGTATCAAGAATATGTTCACGTAAATGGAACGTGAAATAGTGCGAAAACGGGAGGAAAAGATAAGAAATGAACAAAATATACTTTAAATAATAACTATAATTGTATAGAAATGTAAGAAAATAAGACACTTCATTCAAATCTTAGAAAGAAATTATGAAAAAAGGTTTTCCAAAATATAGACATTCTTTTTTAGCCCCCTTTTTTTAACAGAACTACTGTTTTTCTACAATTTTTGGCAATTTGGACACCAGCATTCAATATCGTAAAACTGATTCATTTACCATATATAGTCTACTATATGATGGTGTTCTACCTCAGTCATTCAGACCACATGACTCGGATCAAAGGTTATCACGAAACCCTGTTGCCATATATTGAGAGACATGCGTCGTGGCTACAATACCCAAACCTCATATCTCATTAGTTCATATAAGATTCACAATTGACCATGCGCTTATTGTGCCATCAAAAGCCTTACAAACATCGAAGAAATTTCGATTTCTTTCAAATAGACTAGTTTGGTATTCCCTTGTGTTAACCCAACCTTATGCATCGAGATAGCCACTATTGTTATAACCAACAGGATTCTAATTATCATTTTCGCAATTAAAGTAAAAAAATGCATCCTACAAGGATAGATATATTAGAGCTTTGTACAATAGCACTTTTCTTAGCAATCCTTGTAGCACGCCACCTTGTTTAAATCCAACTTAATGCAGAAATTATTTATATAGTAAATTAAAATCAACATGCATCATTTGGAAATATGACTGTGTTTTATGGGGATGACATTACATTAATAATTAGCATCTCATCTGTCTGAGATTTTTTCACTTTTATTTCACCATATGGTGCACATGTTAATTTTATGGCATAAAAATAAAAAGTATTATTTACTTTAACATCTTTTGTTTCTGGGCTTATGTCAGGATGTTTAAATATGATATCTTGTCTTGTTTCTACGTTTTACCTATGATTGAAATGCCAATCAATACGCAGTCATTTTATTAGTTCTCTTTATGATTCCTACTATGAACTGCTTGACATTTAAACCATTTTTATCATACGTAAAGTATCTAGTTCATATCAATTTATTCCACTCCTAACTATTTCACTCTATTCCATTCCTCTTCGCATTTAAATCGGCATGAGATTTTATTCATGGGAAATCATTAATATGAATGTAAAGATGTTAATGATAAAAATCACCTGCATTTTTCTATAATTAAGATGGTACAATTAAATCATATATCATTTTCTACTTGTCATTGTCATGAGAAATAACTTCTACAATTGATGATCCTTAATTGTCTGCATTTTTATCATACAATCCTCGGTTTAAAAAAAATAATGCATTCTGTAGATTTAGTATAATGTCACTGGGAAGTATCTAATTCGTCAGCATATATGTGTCAAAATCAAAAATATTTGAACCTGGTGGTACACAGGGGTATTGATTGTTTCATTACGAATTATTTTGACAAAAAGCTTTGGATCCTATTATGTGTTCCAAAGGCATAAAATCATTCGTGACCAATTTTTTTTAGCAAAATCCTTTAGAAAGATATTTTCTTCATCATAGGTTTAGCCCCGCTGTGAAACAGGTACAATTATGAAACAGTTCACCTTTAGAATAAAGTTCAACAGGGTCAAAATATTATTTTGATATGGCTTGTGTTTCCTAATTAATTGATAATAATGACCTGGAGAATAGTTCAACAAGTTTTTGCTTGAAAAAATTCAATCTTTAGCAGTAGATGTGTTAATTAATGGAACTATTGTGAAACACAGGGTGGTGTCTTTACATGCATAATTGCCAAAATTGTCTCGATTTTGAGCTGCAACCTGCGCGTGGATAGGGTTCAAGAAGTTAAATAAAAATTTGTAAGCATTGATGATGTTTGCTATTGTTGAAGGAATTTATTGATCTTTGGTCAGGTGCGATGGAAAGTGAATGATGTGTTGTTATTTCCCCCCCCTCCCTTTACCCTTTGTTAGACTAGGACACGTAACAATCAATCCCTCTCATAAAAGTTGAATTTCCACAATTGTTACATCTTGTTACATCATATTATTTATTAGGAAAATGTGACGTCAGTTTGTTTGATAAATTAATTGAAAAAAATGTGCCATAAAATGATCCAAAGGTTCTGCCAAAGATGTGTTGAAGAAGCACATGTTTTGACTCTATTTAAACCACCGGTCATTTTCTCAGGGTCAGAGTTCCCTGGCTGCCGTATAATCTTAGAGAATCCGACCCTAAGGCATATGAACACATTGTTTATAATTGGACGCAATTGTTAGCTTTGTTATTTGAGATGTAACCCCTATGGTGAATTTATGATAACAATGGCAACTACCTTTAATAGTCAGGTACAAGATATTCGTTACCCCATAAATTTTATTTAAAAAAACAACCCATATGAAAATTTTGTTTTTATGTTTAAAAATTGATGTAATATGCGGGTTGTTGAAATGATCTAAGTTTACTCATTTTTGCTACTAAAGGATGAAAGAACTTTGGCAAATATAATTTACAGGAGAATGTATTGACCATTAGGTTTATGATAAAAATAAATATCATTTGTAAATGGTTAATTCAATGGCATTAGTGTAAGCAATGTTCTTATGAAAGGTAAATGGAAAATAGAACTAGTGTAATAATTACAACTTTCACTTTTTGGACATCCTCACCTGCCGTTCTAAAATGACAGAGGGCCAATCACTGACCATAACACGCAACAGTGGAAGCTACTAATTTCAACAGCCTCCATATCAACTTTCACACTTCTCTTGTGTTTTCTTAAATAAACGTCATCAGGTGAAAGTGAATTAGTTGCTTTACAACCGTGAAATATCAAGTTTATACCCAAATTGAAAAATCTAGCATGAAATGTTCTAATAATTATACCATTGCCACAAAGGAAGGGATTGCTGTGGTAGTTATGTTGTCCGGATATTAGAATTGGAGAATGAGTGATGGGGCATTGTTTTTTCCTCTTGACCTTAATGGACAATCAATGTTTGAAGACAATGCTCAAAGAGAAACAAAAACAAAGACATGTAATTTGAATTGATGTTTAATGTTCTTCATGGAATTTAACTTTTCAAAGACGTGTTAATCTTACAAAACTGTTCCATGTTCATTTACAACCATTTGGAAATAAGAGTTCATTTTAAAAAAGTGATCCAATTTTAAAGACTTTTATGTGATAAAAGTGTTAATTTTACAAAATTGATCTGTTGTTCTTAAAATTGTTTCCATTAACATAAATCTTTCCTCTAGATATCTTCCATTTAGCTTGTAAAAAGTATTGCCAATATGTGTTCATCTATCTAAAAAGTGTTTAGATCATAGAAGAGCTGAGCTTAGTTCGCCGATCATACACAGGCCCGTAGCCAGGAGGGTTCGTAGGGTTCGGACGAACCCCCCCCCTGACCAAAAATTCTTTCAAAATCATGCAGTTTTTCACCATTTTGAGCACTTCTCAAGTGATTTTAGCCATATTTGGGCCAAAATTGTCAAATGTGAACCCCCCCTGGAAATTTTTGAAAACTGACCCCCCCCCCCCTTGGCAAATCCTGGCTACGGGCCTGATACACATCTTGAATTAACAAACTAGGTATAAAGTTTTCATACGTGTGAATGAAAACACAGTCGGTATGCAGTTATGATTTGGGGCAAGATCATGATTTGGGCTTGCCCCAATCACGCTGGTAAACGAGTATGGATCATACATAGGTATTCTGAAATCTTTCACAGATGATGTGATACTCAGTACACTAAAACCTGCATATATAAACACTCTTCTCATCGGAACACCTCTCAATATGAACACCTTCTTTCAGTCCTTTGTAATCTCCAATTAACTCCCTTGTCAAAGAAATCCTGAAATGTGAACCCCCAATTTTGTGACCAATTTTGGCCTCTCCAAGTGATGTCATACCCCCTTCCCTTCTTGCCCCCCCCCCCTTTCCCGTCTATCCCCTCTCCTGCTGTATTTATGCTGATGGAATTTATAAATTGGAAAGTTGATATGTCACCATGGCCTGACGCAACACTAAGGTAGTACTAGAATGTCAAGATACATCATTGAAATATTTTCTTACTATTCCACAAATAATTTCAGCCTGTTCCCATTAACAAAAGCAGCTAATTTAGACTAATTACAGCCTTATTATTAAGAACATTAATTCCTTAATAGGGCTATTGTTTCAACATCTTGAATACCAATGTAAACACAAATTTTATTTATTTTGTCTTATTTTCGTTGACATTTGCTTTATGGTTGCAAAAACAAGAATTCTACATTTGTCTTTTGTTTCAATGTCAATCTTAATTGAGATGTAGATTCGAAAGGTCAGGGTTTATGGATAGAGTGTTTTCAATTCTTGAGTGTTATGGGCCAATATGGCATCCATATATGGTCCCATAGAACCATTTTCTCCATAAATTTTATAAATGATACACTCGCTTCTTTTTCAAGACAAAAACTCTCAAGTAGGAAATACAATTAAAGAAAATGAAAAAGACCAGGTATGTGCATGTGGTAAATGATTTAAAGGCCGAAAAATTGTCTAGCGATTGAGAACGTAAACATGCGAACCGAAGCGCATCTTTGCCCATGCTTCCAAAACCAACCGAAGCATTCCGAATGGATCCATACACATATGAACGTACCCAAACGATCAACATATTTTTCGAGACCTGAGACTTATTTCTAAAAAATATCTTGTGTTTCTCATAACACATACATGGAATATACAATGCAAGCTATATAACATTATTTATCTCAAGCATTGATCATTTTGAATGTAGGATTGGTGACATTTAATAATGAAAAGTTACCATTAAAGAACCCCTTTTAATTTTCGCGTATGTAAATCGTTGTAGGAGGCAGAGAGGTGCTACCATCTTTCAATAAATTATTATATTTTTCGTAAATCACGATGCACGTGTGGTGATCGGAACAATGGGACGGAGGGGGGATAGTACCGAAGATCTTCGGATTTCCAATCAGCCCTTTCCACAGTACATATAAAGGCTCGTACCTAAATTGCAGAACGGCAAACATGATTGGCTATATCCAGAAAATTGTCTATGCAAAACTAGACAAGAACAACACACAGATTGCACTGTTTCACTTATTGAATGAATTAACTTGTTTATATTTAAACATTCATGAAATGTTACACACAATGTACCCTCCCCCCTCCCCTCCCCAGAGAATCCAAATGGGATAAGTAAGGGTTATGTACTGGGAGGTTTATCCAGAGGGATATATGCATATCTACCTGAGGGACCGTAGGGACCGAGCGAAGATGTGCATATCTCACGAGGGATAAACCCCATATCCAAACCGACCGTATATAACTGTTTTACCCTATAATATTTTCTTCGCATTTTTTAAATTTTTTCAACATTTTTGTCTAATTTTTATTCAGATTTTTTTTCAACTTTTTTTCAAAGCGGGAAGATATGCCCTGGAGCGGGAGATATGGAGGTTTTGGATATGGAAACCTCAAAATCAGGTTACTGAATATATCTTACCAACTTATCTCCCTAAAACTCTACTTGGCATCGGATAAAAAAGTACATATTCATGAGTAGATATTACAATATGCAGACGCAGTGCTGACATCTATTCTTAACTTAATAAAAATGAACTAGACTGATTTGCATTGTATAACAATATAACATTTAAAAAACAATACCAAAATACAAGAAAACTAATAATTTCATGCTGTGAGATCAAAATTACTACTGAAAACCGCAAGAAATTGATGACCTGACTTTATTGTAGTTTTTCATTGAGATTAGTTCCCATGAATTTTAATTAGGGAAGTGACACTCGTTAGCTTGGCTTCGACCACAATTTCACCTGGATAAGCGTTAATGATAATTAATTGTAACTCTGTAGTGTGCCTATACCCACGCTTGGCCAGGGGGTGGTTAATCGCCTTAGCCTGAGCCCGTGGGTGAAATATCAAAGGGGGTTAAGTTAAATCTTCAAAATTACGTGCAAAATGGTGGAATAGGCATAAACTAGGTATGTGCGCAGGTAGTTGATGTTCCAAATTGTGTAAAAATGCAAGAAAATGAGACGTCTCATTCAAATTGTTATACAGAAATGAACAGATTCTGCGTGACTTTATTGGTGTTTTAAGGTTAGGCAGACGCACGTCTGATATAATTGTTTTCTGGGTGTTTTCCTTCAATTTAGTATGCATTTTCATGTTATTATCCTTGCTCGGCTTTCTTGGCTAACCGCAGCGTTGGTTCTGACCGACATCAAGGATGGGGAGGTAGGGTAGGGCAAGCATGCCCTG